TGATTCGCCATATAGTTTACCTCTTCGAACCCGAGAGGTGGACAAAATCCGGTATCATGTTCACCTTTGCAAAGCTCACAACAAGCTATTTGTTTAGCTTTTGATGGCTCTTTCATCTCTTTGATTTGTTGAGTTAAGAGTGCCACTTGTTATGAGATGAGTTTATTTTGTGCAAGGATGGCATCATTTGTCCCTAGTTCAAGCACTCCCGGTTTCTTCAAAGTGTTTTCTCTACTCTAGCTTTGAAGGTCATTTAGAGCCATACGGTTGATGATATCCGTAGCTTCATCGGCGCTTTTAGATAACAAAGAACCACCCGAAGTGGCATCCAACAAGGTCTTACAATTTGGTTGAAGGCCATTCTTGAAAATATGGATTTGCGTCAATTCATCAAAGCCATGACCTTTGCACTTTCGAAGCATGGATTTAAATCTTTCCCATGCCTCGTTCAATGATTTGATGGCTCCTTGGGAAAACACGGAAATTGCTGTTTTGGATTCCATGAACGGGTTGTGAGAGAAAAATCTTTCAATGAATTTCTCTTCCAACACGTTCCAATCCGTCATGACCGTCGGTGTTTGATCCAAGTCCCAATCTTTGGCTTTGCCGAGCAAAGCATGTGGAAAAAGTCGTTTGAACAACGGTAGCTCTTGAGCTTGATCAACTCCCGCCACCAATGCTATCTCATGAAATTTTGTGAGAAAAGCAAAGGGGTCTTCATGGTCCATTCCGGTGAATGGGCTTCCATATAACAAGTTAAGAGTTCCCGTCTTCATCTCTGCTTTCCTTTCCGTGTGGTTGGCAAACTGAGCAGTGTTTCATGGACTGTTGATACACGGGGTAGAAACGGGCGGTGGTGGTGGTGGATCCATGATAGGTATGAAATGAGGTGGTGATGTTGTAGAATAAATTTCTCCTTGTTCTTGTCGTTGTCGAGCAAGTTGCCTCCTCTGTCTTGTTCTACTATTCAGTCTCCTTGCGGTCCTTTCGATCTCGGGATCAAAAAGAAGTTGGTCCTCAGGAATCTGTCCTCGCATAAAATGAAAGCTGCACACTAAACCAAACAAATTAACAAGCACAAGTCAAAATTTCAAGAGTTAACAATTCAACAACTATTGCGATGCTCACAATATCAATTCATATTCTCCGGCAACGGCGCCATTTTGTTTGTTACAGTGGTTAAGTGTCGGGTTTTTGTTATCGTCTCCACAGGGAATATGAGATATTGCCGCAGTTCGACAATTATTGAGTTCTTAACTTTTTATTAACAAAAGGGGTTTGGTTTTTAGTAATGGTATCTTTGCATAAAAAGTACTGAATTGCGGTAAAAGATTGATTTTACGATTTAATAAAGATTGCCAAAGTTAGGGTTCGGTAATCACTTTGCTTGTATATGTCCGATCAACAATAAGCATAAACTTCTTCAGATGATAAACACATTCACAACATCCTCCCAATGTGATTATCTCTAACTCACATTGTGATTTTTCCCATTTTGACCCATTGTTGATTTCTCACACAATATATCAAAATGACAACATTTAGGTTTAACATTTTTCATGAACAACCACATTCGAAACTATCTCTAGCTTAAGAAAATAGAAGGATGAAAACCTAGGTCAAGAGTTGGAAAATATCTTTCGATCATAAACCAACACAAAGAGTTAAAGATAAAGCAAGGTTTTCACCATATATTCATCATCCAAGAATTTACAAATGAAGATCATCCATATACTTAAAAAGCTTAATGATCACCTACATCTAACCTTGACAAAATGAAGAACTTAGCTACTCATTTTCATGGTAGCTTGCAAAAGAAGATTCGGAAGAAGGTTGATGAACATCTGAGTCAAGGAATCCAACTTGGATGAGAATCCACCTTCTTTTTGTGGATTAATGTTTGGAAATAAAGAAAATAAGAGATAGAGTGTTTCTAGGTCACAAAATCTCTTATGCAGCAAAACAAAGTAAAATATATGATCTCTTGTTCAAAAAGTACAAAGGCTATATATAGAAAAAGTTGTTGTTTTGTTACGCTCGCGACTTCATTCGCCTAGCGAGCTAACAACGAACGTTCTCTACAGCTTCGCTTAGCGAACATGCTAGCGAGGGTTGAGGAAAAGATTTTGGAATGCTTCGCTACTTGCTCGCCTAGCGAGTTCTTCGCCACCTGCCTCGCTGCCAGCGAATAATGCCATTATGGTTCTGCCCAAGTCTGGGAGTATTCGCTAGCAGCTCGCTGGATGCTCGCCTAGCGAACAACTCGCTGCAACACTCGCCATATGTTCGCCTAGCGAACATGCTTTTGCTCTTGATCTTTCTTGATTCCTTTGTCAACTTTCTCGTGTCTTCAATTTTTGCTCATTCATGCTCAAATACTGTACAATAACACACAAATTAAAAGGAACAAGAGCATTTCACAACATATCGCATATCAACAAAAGCAAGGTGGTTTTGAACCGAAATTGAACAAAAAGGAGCGGAAGATGCCCACATTTGATAGCTCAAATAAGCACAATTAGGCATCTAACAACCATCCCTAGCGCCCGTCAACCACAATGACTTTTCCTTCCCGTATGCATAAAAGTAAGTTCATCACTTAATCTTTGGTTATTTCACTTAATAATTACTTTTTCTAACTAATTGAGTTTGAACTGTTTTTGGTTTAGATGATCGGCTAAGGGTATGACTTACAATAGATGCCCTAGACATTGTATCATTCAATACTGCAATTCGTTGGATCACCTAACACCTGCAGATGTAAGGCCTCTAAACTACATCAATTTGTATTTTATATCAACTATTTAATGATCTAATATTTTTCTCTTCTTCAGTTCATATGGCGTCCATATCTAAACATGGAACACCTACATGAAATCAGACAGGAAGATGTTGTTGTTTGGACTACATGCGTCCCGATCATCAGATTCACAACTGTGGAGATGCACAACAGTTACCGTGTCAAACTACAATTTGGAATGCATTAAAACATTCCAAATCCTCCTGTTGACATCAGTAAATGGCATCTAAAAAGAGTTAATGATCAATGAGAGTTTCCCGACTAGAAGGATTTTGCAAAATCTGAGCGTCGTAAATGGATGACTCGCAGCGCCCATATCTTACGTGACTCGGTGATAGAAGTACCATCTATACCAACTATTAATTATATGGCTTGGTACAGATCAGTTGCAATTGGGTTTGTCTCCAAAGACAGATATTTATATGACCCATGCCAAACCACCTACACATAAGACGCTTCAACGTCTAACCCACCAGAAAGTTTATGTTACTCACAGACCCCCACCCAACAGAGTTACCAACCCATTCACCATCCAAACATGCCAAACACCCAACCACAATACCAAGAACGTCCCCCGTACCATCTCTCACACACTGACTACTACCCAGAATCCCAATATGGCTATGGCTCCAACACAACATCAAGATATAACCATAACGAGGGTACATCATACCATAGCCATAACGCCCAAACATCTTTCCATAACCAAAACACTCCAACATCATACACTGGCCTACCCACTCAATCATCTCAACAACCTTATGGCTTTCAAACACCACTACCATTTCAACCTTTCTCCAACGAATCGTTCACACCAATGTCCCCCTTCAACCATCCAGGCCGCACACCAATGACCCTTTCATCACATTCGAACTACTCTGGCATGGGTCGCACGCTCAGTTTCAACACACAGGACCTAATGGAAATGCAAGAGATCCTTCGGGAACCATCTAGGAATGTTCTTGAGACTTCAACTCCTCAAACACCAGGCGTGAATCAACAACGTGGGGGACGAGCGCAACGAGTTAGGGTGCCTGCGGGATGTGGAACCGGTGACCGGTATGACCGACCCGGTCGCCAACATTAGTTTATGTAATACTTTTTTTAATTAATGATAACATTTATTTTTCCGTCTGACGTATTTTATTAATTATTTTTGGAACTATCTATTTTTTTGAAAAAAAATTCAAAATACAAGGGTTCTCCGGATGAATTGGCGACTCCCTTGTAAGTATAACACCAAGTCGCCAATTGGATTGGATACTGCATGAGGAGTCTCCAATCCAATTGGCGACTCTCTTCTAGCCTTAACAAGGTGTCGCCAATTCATGTGGCACCCTTGTGTAATCTCAAACCCTAAATAGAGTACTTTACGAATAATTTTGAAAGGTAGGTTATTTTGAATTTTTTTTTAAAAACTTGAGTTATTTGAATTAAAAAATTCCCATATCCTAATATCTCATAGATTTTAGAATCATACTAAATGATGATAATATATTTAAATTAAGAAATTAAAAGTAGTGAAGTGACACTTTAAAATATTTTTATATTGTTATTACAAAGATTTATCAATAAACCATATCACATAACTAATTTAAAAATACAATCATCATTTGAGAAAATATATGATGATAATTGATTGATAATACAAAATTATTTTATATTATTAGAACATATATTTTTTCACTTAAAATAAAATATAAATGCGATTTCTTAAATATCTCAAAATTTTATTTTAATATTTTAGAATTTTATTTTGAATAACAATTTTTTTATAATTTTTAACTTTTAATTTTAAAAATTACCGATTTTTGCACACTATTCTTTATGTGGAAGAATGTGAAAAACATCATACAACAATTAAAATTGAATAACACATAATAAAAAATAATTATATGGATAAATCGTCTATGTAATTAACAAGTTGTTTAATTTTATACATGAATTTTAATTTTAGAGATTAATATCAAAAAACTTAAATTCAAGAATTATTTTAAAAAATAAAAAATGCAGAAGCGAAAATAAAAAAAACTCACTCATTTATAACAACATTGCTTACTTAAGTTTAAGAAATACAAATAACTAATTTTTATTAATTTTTTATAGACGAACCACTAAAGAAAGAAAAATTAAACAAAAGTTGAAAACAAATACTTATTAATAGAACACCAATAATTCATAAGCCAACACAATATTATACTCAAAATTTAGCTAAAGAATTCACAAATTCTTCAATATTTTTATCAGATCTTCCACCTTCATCAAAAGAACTCTTAGCCAAATTCTTCCATTTCAAAGCACTTTTTCTTATTTCACTTCCTTTTTCTGTCTCAATAATTTCCTTCACACAATCCTTAATAGTTTCACTTCTAACAATTCCTTTCTCATCAGCAACAGCTCTAACTCCAATTTTCCAAACATCAACAATAAGTTTTGCATTAGTGACTTGATCAGTCCAAAGTGGCATAGCAATCAATGGAACACCAATGCTCAAAGCTTCCAAAGTCGAATTCCAACCGCAATGTGTTACAAAACATCCAACAGCTTCATGTGTCAACACTAGAAGTTGTGGAGACCATGTTACTATTAGACCTTTTTTTGATGTTTTTTCAAACCCTTTTGGGAGATTACTTTGGTCACAATCTCTAACAACCCATAAGTAAAAAGTTTCACTTTGTTTTAATCCATAAGCTAGTTCATGTGTTTGGTCTTCACTTAGACCAGCCATGCTTCCAAATGAGACATAAACAACTGATCCTTTTGGTTTGTCATTAAGCCATTTGATGCAAAATTCTGTGTTTGGATCTGAGAGGTTAATACCATATTCTTTGTCATCTTTGAGTCTTTTGTCTAATAACATAGATGGTATTGATGGTCCTATTGTCTTTAATGGCCAAATCTTCACCAACCAATCCACCACCTAAATTGAATTTCATTTCAAATTTGAATCATTAGCAAACAAAATAAAAACTACTAGCAAGTCTTATAAAATTAGTTCTGGGTTTGGTACATATGTCTATGTCAGACGACAATTCACACATTTTTCTAAAAAAAAATGTTAATTTTGTTTGATTCAAGACACTTTAGACACAACTCTAACATAACATATGAATCCATATTCACCGCAATGCGTGCATTCACATATTCGATGCATCAGATACACGCATTTGTGCATTTGATGCATCAAAGACTGTTCAATTGAGATATGATGGTTTAATAAATATGATTTTGAGTTTTTGAATTATAATTTAAAATTTAAAACTTTCAGTTATGTAAACATACCTCATTTTCAAGTTCATAGATTGAGTTTGCAAGAATCCAATCAGCTTTACCAATATTGTCAAATTGATTGACCACTATGTCAAAGTAAGCCGGATAAGATCCATACTTAGACAAAAAAGAAGGGAAATCCCCTTGAGCAAGTTTCGGCAATCCAGGCAACAAATACTCAGATTTTGAAAGTGGTAACTCAATAACCTTCTCATGAGTCTGAAAATAAATACTATTAACAGAACAAGATTGAGTGAAAAAAGCCACACCAATTAACCCAAAACTCTTACCAACATCAAGAGCCCAAGGCAAAAATGCATCAAAGATAACACAACTTGGTGGATTTTCTGAGGTGGAAAGTTTGTGAAGAAGCTCAGAAAGTGACTCTGATCCAACTCTCCAAAAGGTTTCTTTGTAAATCTCTAAGCTTTCTGCTGCTGATAAGCCTCCTTCATCATATCCATCTGAGATGCTTTCAACTTCGATTGAAGTAAGGTTTTTGTTGCTAATAGTTTTCCAAAGAGAAGTGACGGTTATGAGTGTTACCTTAACTTGTTTTTGTATTAAACGTTTTGAGAATTGAATCATAGGATTCATGTGACCTTGTGCTGGATATGGTAGGATCAAACAATGAGGTACCTGGTTTTTCTTGTCCTTATCCATCTCTATGATTGGTTTTCTTGTTGCTTCTATCTACTTTGGTTACAAATATATATACACACATAAAATAAAAAGAACTTTTTTATATATTATCATTTTTTTTTTAAATATTGATATCTTCTAAATAAAATTATTTTAAAATATTTTAGAATTAAAATTTTAAATAAATAAATATATATATATATATATATATATATATATATATATATATATATATATATATATATATATATATATATATATATATATATATATATATATATCATCGAGTATGAACCACCAACATAATTCATGTTAAACATTCATCAACAAGATACATGTATAAATGTATCACAAAAGAATCATAATCATCCTAGCTACCCGGTGCTACATATCAGAGTCGACCGACCAAAAGAATGAAGACACGCTTCACAAAAAGACCACCAGCATACCTACTCTGCAATGCCTCATAGAGCATCATAAAACAGTAAAAGGGTGAAAAATATTATCATAATAACAATGCATATAATTATATATCTTAGCATAAAAATACACATATTCTATATTCTTACCACAATTCATCGCCACTCACCCATATACATCACAATGTATATATATATATATATATATATATATATATATATATATATATATATATATATATATATATATATATATATATATATATATATATATATATATATATATATATATATATATATATATATATATATATATATATATATATATATATATATATATATATATATATATATATATATATATATATATATATATATATATATATATATATATATATATATATATATATATATATATATATATATATATATGTACTAAACCAAGCATATTCGTCATGCATACCTTCACAATTCTTATTGTTCCACATAAACATACATATTCATGTTTATTCATTAATGCACAATTACAAAGATGATAAATGCAAATCATAGAGACTGACTCACGACTCTATGCAAATGCAATGCGGTACCGACTCAATCATCTCAAGTTCACTCAGGAACTTATTGGAACCATCGCTCGTTACCAATGTAACTCCCCGTCGGGCCTACGATGTCCACCCATTGCTCACACCTCACATAGCCACACAATGTTTATGGATTGCTCACACCTCACATAGGCACACAATCCGATTACTCACACCTCACCTAGGCACACAATCGTTTGTAATCATCGCTCACACCTCACACAGGCACACGATGTTACAACGGATTCTCATTAGAATCACACAACACAAGAATGTACGCCATTATGCTTCACATACAAAATGACTCAAGACACTCTTGAAATACATACATATTCATAATATATTCATGCATTCATCTCATACTATCACATACAATCTATATACATTCACATCAATTACGCCAAACGGCAACGAGCAGCACTTTACCACCTAAACGGCAACGAACTCTTTCACAATTAACATGCATTTACACATAATTTAAACAATGCATTTATTTGCCAAAAGGCCACAATTCACAATAAATTCCACAATCTAGGATTCACTCCATAAGGCTACCCACAACACATCGTATAACAACATACACAAGCTATACATTATATAACAAAAGCATACTGCACGATAACACATCAATCGCACACATTCGCGACGGTAAAAATCAACACAACGATACATTTTCAATTTTTTTCTATAATTGAACCAGGTACAGGCCTCAAAACCATATTTCCTAGAAAGAGCATCTCGTTAACTTTCCAACGCTTCGAACGGAGGTCAAAACCGACTTACGGTTCAAGAGTTATGAATTTTCGAAGTTTTTCCAAAACAGAGTTTTTCTGCATAAAGACTGCTACGGGTTTGAGCATTTTCGCCCGAAAATCCGACCGATTCAATTATATTCTTCGAAACAAACACATACTCATTCATACCAAACATATAGTAGTGATTTAGAACCATCAAATTTGAAACCTACGACTTTCGATTTCAATCTGAATCTTAAACCCTCAAATCTCCAAAAATGCAAAAACTTACAAAATCAACCAAATTCGATAAAACAAGCATACTCGATCACGGCCTAACATTACCCGACACAACTACGCAATCTATTCCGGCTTTCGTCCATAAAAACATTTATTCCTCACAAAAATCTCAATTTCAACCTAGAACTCAAACTATGGAAAACAAGAAAACATCCAAGCAAACACATACATAATGATATACATTAATGAGATAATAAGATTTCACACCCTTACCCGATTAAATTGATTCCTAGAAGTTGTTTTGAATATTTCTAAGCTTTTCCTCTTTTTCTTCTCTTTTCTCTTTTTCCTCTTTCTTTCTCTCCTTTTTTCTCTCTATTTTTCTTTTCTTTCTATTTCTATCCTATTTCTTCTTCTTATCTTTTTTTTTTTACACAAATTTAATTAATTCATTTTCTCACATTATTCTACACTTAATCACTTTTCTACCAATTTTACTAAATTTCTCACATAATTCTATTTCCACTAAATTTCTAACTTATCATTAAATGAGAAATGTCCAAAATACCCTCCATTCTAATTTCCCTGAAAACTCTCAAAAACGGTAAAATATCAAAACATGTCAACATATCATATTAACACACCAATTTCACAAATAAAATAATCATCACCCAATTTAAATAAAAGACTCAACAAAATGGTAATAATCGAAATCGGGGCGTTACAACTCTCCCCTACTTTAGAAATTTTCGTCCTCGAAAATATTACCTGATTCAAACAACTCCGGATACGACTCTCACATCCCACTCTCTAGTTCCCAAGTCATATTGTCTTCCGAAGCGCCTCCCCACGCTACTTTCACAAGTGCAATATCCTTGCCTCTTAGCTTCTTAACTTCACGGTCCAAAATCCTAATCGGTAAAGCTTCAACCGTAAGGTTATCTCTCACTTCAACCTCGTCCATAGGAATAACATGTGATGTGTAACAGCCCAATTTTTCAATAAGTGATTAATTGTGCTAGTTAATTGGTTTATGTGATTTATCTGATTTAAATAAATTATTGGATTTATTTAAATGAGTTAATGGATTTAATTAATTTATTCTACTTGGTAGAATAATGTGGATTTATTAGATATTCTCTAATTAATGATAAGATGAGATATTTTGTGAGAAATGAATTGATAGGTATTTTTTAGAGAAGAATTATGATGGAAAGAAAATAGAAGGATATATAAGGGAAATTGGAGAGAAAAGAAAAGAGATAGAAGCATAAGAGAAAGAAAGAAAGAAAAGGAGAGAAAGAATAGAGAAAGAGGAGAAAAGAGAAGAGAAGAGGGAAACTTGGAGAAATCATCAAGAATCAACTTCAAGTTTCAATCCAATCAAGGTAAGGGTGAGAAACATTATTATTTGATCAATGTGTATGATTATGTATGAGTTGTGTTGGATTTGTTGGTAGTTTTCCCTATTTTCCATTTCTAGGGCAAATGAGTTAAATCGATAGAATCGAGTTTTGAACGGTTAGAATTCAAAATAAATTGCATAGTTTAGTCGGATAATGTTTAGTCGTGATTATTGGATTTCGTTTGATTGAATTTGGTTGAGTTTGTGAGTTTTGACATTTTTGGATAGTTGAGGGTTTGAGATTTGAGTGAAAATCGGACGTCGTAGAAATCGTGTTTAATGGTTCTAATTCATTGCTATATGTTAGGTGAGTATGAGTATGTGTTTGTTTCGAAAAAAAAGAATTGAATCGGTCGGATTTTCGGGCGAAAATGCAAAATCCCGTAGCCGTGTTTAGGCAAAATTCTAGTTTTTCGGAAAACTTCAAAAATTCATAACTCTTGAACCGCAAGTCGGTTTTGACCCCCGTTCGAAGCGTTGGTAAGTTAACGAGATGATCTTTCTAGAAAAAATGGCTTTGAGGCATGTACCTGGTTCAATTATAGCAGAAAATTGAAAACATATTGTTGTGTTGATTTTTACCGTCGCGAATGTGTGTGATTGATGTGTTATTGTGCAGAATACTTTTGTTATATAACGTATAGCTTGTGCATGTTGTGATATGATATGTTGTGGGTAGCCATATGGCGTGAATCCTAGATGGTGGAATCGATTATGAAATATAATCTTTTGACAAATATATGCGTATTGTTTGTATGTGAAGAATGCATGAGAATATATTGTGAATATGTGTGCATTGTTTGAAAAGGTAATGAGGTTGAATTATGAATGCATATTTGTTGTATCCGATTATTGTGAATTAATGCATGAGAGCATATTGTAAGATATGCGTGCATTGTTTGACAAATATGTTGATGAAAAGTATGAATACTTGATTATATGATATGTTGTGTGTGCAATCTTGTTTAATTCTTGAAGGGAGGAATTATGTGAATGCATGGGATTAAGACGTGTGATCGGTCTTAAGTGCATTTTGTTGTTGATTGCATATGCATCATTTAGTCAAGAGGCAATGTTTGCTAGTTTCGTGGAGGCTAGTGACTTGTCCCAAACCTAGAGCGGGGTTTGAAAGCTTAGGGAACGGGCTTTTGTTGTTATCGGTCTAGGGAACGGACCCGGTTTAAGTGTAAAAACCGAAAAATGATAACAAGTGTTGGTACCACATGGCATGAGTTGCATTGAGTTGCATTGAGTCTCATGGAATGAATATATGATTGTTGTATGAAGTTATGCATAGGTGTATGTACATGACTTGTGTAATTGAGAGTTGTGAATATGTGATCATTGTATGAAAGTATGCTTATGAACATGAATTGTTGATTTGAGAATTGTGAATGTGTAATTGTGAATTAGTGAGTAAACATAACATGTGTATGTTCATGTGGAATGTTGAGATTTATGGATACGTGCATGATGAATATGCTTGGTGATTATCCATATTTGATTATATATATGTTGTATTATACATGATGAGTTATAATGAATTGTGGTGAGAAAATGTGGAATATATGTATTTTGTGCTTGTGTATTTGTGTATATATAATTATATGCATTGTTATTATGATAATATTTCTCACCC